TTGCAGAATGAGAAGCATGTCTCACTGCCGATCGCGAGGTGCATGCACTATCGCTTGAGTCTGAGACCTTTATTGATAGGGAAACCCGTCTGAACTCTCAGAGGGTTCGGACAGCCAAAGGATACCCGGTATCGGGAGACACTAGAAGAACGGGAAGCACAACTCACTACCGATCGCGTTTCCAGTGAGCCTATGCTTCGTGATGATAATAAATAAAGCCCAAGGTCAGACGCTAAAAGTTTTGGGTGTAGATTAAGTGTTAACTGCTTTTCACACAGTCAACTCGGTCACACGGTTATGTAGCTCTGTCACATGTTAGCAATCCTAGCAACCTATATAGTGTGTATAGAGAAGCATTACTTTAAATTAGATTTTTCTAAATACCCAAAGGACGGTGTTTATAAACCAAAAGGTATGTCCTAAAACTGCTGCCCAAAGTCGCTATTCCACGCGGACGGAGTCGCGGGCACAGCTAGTTCTATAATAAATATCTAATTCTAAAACTTCTATTAAAGTTACTAGAAATCAAATTTATGATGGGCAGTTTTCGTGTATTTTAAAGGTTAACGGCAAAGTTTGTTTACGAAATAGCACCCTTAGAATTGAAGTGGTATAACTAAAAAAAATTAAGATAATTAGTTTTATATTTCAAAGTATTATTATTAAGAATCTATATTATAAGTAATACGTGAAGCAAACATTTTGTTCCCCTTTTTACGAAAATAGCGCGGACGGAGAAGTATGAAATTTCCCACACTTATAGAGAATATTACATTTATAATTATATTTTTAAGTATATTTTTAATTATGCTTAAACAATAAAAAAAACTAAATCAATAAAAAAATTTACACACATTACCATGTATTTGACACACCACACAAATGCATTTATACTTTTTTTGTTTATTGATTTATCAATCTGTGGTCAAATTGAGAATAGATTAATATTTTTTGCCTTTAATATTATTTGTCTATAGTGTAGCCTTGGCGACACCTGTAATTATAGAGCAATGATTATTATAGAAATGATGATAATGGAAAGGTGACAATAGAACTATAATAATGTTCAAACATAAAATTTAAATAAATTATGGTCGAATTTCGACCACTGGACTACCATTAGTAGGTAATAATAAAATCATTTATTGCCTTTCACACAGATTTAGATTATTACAGGCAGCCTACAAGGAAACAACGATCATTTCTGGCAAGCAGCTAACATTTGCACTTGTACATTATTAATGGGAATTTAGAATTAAGAATTATGACAATTTTTAATTTATTAATTAATTAAGAATATTGACAATTTAACAGGATTTTGACAAGTACGGATTAATATAGTTACATATTGTAAATTAAATTAGTTTTATAAGTTCAATAAAAATAATTTAAATGATCTGCTGATGATTTAAATATCAGCTTATAAAATTAAAGTCTCTTTTATTCTAGAAAAGGACAAAGTTCTGTCTTTTTCAAATAAAATGCAAGCCTTAAAGTGCTTATGCCGAAAAACTAAAAAAATACAATTCTTGTATTACATTATTGAAGTTGACCAGTTTACTGGATGTAGGACTTCTTGAGAGTCCGCGCGGGTATGTACCACCGCCCTGCCTATTTCTGCCGTGAAGCAGTAATGCGTTTCGATTTGAAGGGTGGAGCAGCCGTTGTAACTATACTTGAAACCTTAGAACTTATATCTCATGGTGGTTCGCGCATTTACGTTGTAGATGTCTATGGACTCCAGTAACCACTTAACACCAGGTGGACTGTGAGCGCGTCCACCTATCTAAGCTTCGATCAACAATTGTTGATCGAAGTATCTAAGCATAAAAAAAAGAAATAAGAATTTTAGGTTGAGCCACTTTAATTCTAAAGGTGCAAAATAGGATTGAACACGTGACATTACCCGGCTAATTTTGAAAGTACTGTGTTCCCATTAAAATACTGTTAAAATACGTTGTATTTCATTTAGACGGTCTAATGCCAAAACACCACGTGCTACCAATATACCTACGTGAAAAAATATTATTGCTGCTTTCGGTGAATAAACGTCCTGCGAATCGAGTAGCTTAAGACCTTTTTTTTTTCCTACCTATGCTGATAGCCTTGAGAGGCTATATGAGCGGAACCTTAACCAGTATGTGAGCTCACGGGGCTCAAACCTGACGATGTTGCTAATACAAACCCTAGCTAGAGCGGTGCTTCGCAGAATCTACCACCGGATTGGGTTCGACGAAAACGATGACCGGTGCTTGAGGTACCTAAAAGCACCGTTAGTGGATCGGGAGGATCCGAAATGATGTGTTTGGGGCGACGTCGACTGCTTTCCATTCTTTCCACAGGATCGGGAATGTAGTTACAGGCGACCACGATGAGAGAGTTCTCGTGTCGTGCCGCTTTATCGAAGTGGCGCATCGACGCTGACTGCAGATACTTACTGATGGACTCTAAGTCCAGGTCGTCATGGAGGTCGACGTTCCTGACGAACCACGGAGCTCCGACGGCTATCCTGCAAAAACGGGATTGAATGACTTGGAATGATTTTAAGTTAGTGCGGGCCGCGTGAGCAAACATTACACTTGCATAGGTCATGACGGGGCGTATGCAAATTTTGTAGAGTGTCACCTTATTTCTAAGGGACATTTTACTTCGCCTGCAAATCATCGGGTAGAGGCGTCCTAGTATGAAGGCGGCACGGTGCTTAAGTCCACTCACACTCACAGTTCTTCATTTTTCACCGTGTAGAACGTAAACTCGATTTCCGCAGTTGTTAGATTAAATGATTTATTTTACCAAACTCGCACTACGAGCACATTTGTTGAATTTTGTAAAAATGAAAAGAATCCAATAACAATTTGATTTGTTAGTAAGTTTTATGAAAGAATGCTTATTAAAGGTATTTACAAAATTTTATGAGTTATTAAAGTAAGCTTGTGATATTTTTTATGTAGGTATCTGTTCACTATCATTGTACGTCTTTGTTAAGCACTGATGGGGATGGTGATAACAATGCCACACAGCACTACAGTATGGAACGCTCTGACGGACTCGGTGTTGTAATAGTTAGTACTCCTGGTTGTTGCGCTGAAGATCGTGGGTTTAATTACCGCATTTGGCAAACTCTTTGTGATGAACAGATTTTTTTACTCTTTATCTGGATGATTATCATCTATATATGTATATATAAACATATAAATGTATGTTTCTCAGTCTCTAGTAGCCATAGCACAGGGAATCCTATTGGGGGCGGATGACCGTGCGTGATTTGTTCCTAGTTATTACAGTTTTATATTATTATTAAAATTAATCGTATCTAATGAAACCTTTACTTTAGTATGATAGCAATTGGAAAAAAACCTTTTTTTTAATGTTTTTAAAAGAACTTGCTTTCACTAACGAGCTAGAGCGTTTAGAAAATCTTAAAGGAGACGGCCCATTTTCCATGGACATTTGCACCACAGCAAAAGTGCAAGAGACATTTACTGGTGGCAGGACCTCTTGAGAGTCCGCGCGGGTAGGTACCACCACCCTGCTTATTTCTGCTGTGAAGCAGTAATGCGTTTCGGTTTGAAGGGTGGTGCAGCCGTTGTAACTATACCTGAGACCTTAGAACTTACGTCTCAAGGTGGGTGGCGCATTTACGTTGTAGATGTCTATGGGCTCCAGTAACCACTTAACACCAGGTGGGCTGTGAGCTCGTCCACCCATCTAAGCAACAAAAAAAAATTACTAACAAAATTGGATCATTGTATAGGATTTTTAAAATCTATTGTAGAACCGTTAATGTTTTTATTCTGCATAGCGGGGTTTAAAAGATATCAACTAAAACGTTGAAAAAAATAACGCCCCAAGTAGGTAATCAAGAACGTGATTATTTACTTACTACTAAAAGAAGGTAGTAAATTCATTACTGGGCGATTTACTGTGCTCATTTTGAAATGAATTTAAGTGTTTGGGGAAAAGGGGAACCAGAGTTTCTATGAAACTGGAAAAACCAAGCCAAATCTCATTTTAACAAGTCGTTAGTACCTATTTCAATAATCTAGTGATATTGCCTATATTTTTCAAATTTTTCATGGAATGATGGTTATTATATTATTAATACAAAAATCAAAAATGCAATGTTAATTACCAATATTGTTTATTACTCATCAATAATTAAGTTATGTAAAAACGGCGCGGATGGCGGTTATGAGGATTTTGGCGTCGCACGTCTTTTGTGTTTTCCCATATTACGTATTTAAATATTTTCAAGTTTTACTAAAAATCGTAGAAGAAGCACGTTCACGAACATCAAATAATTTATAATAATCCACCATTTATATTACATATAACCACTCGAATATACACAAGTTAAAGAAAATAATACAATGAGGCGACATGTTTTTTCCACGTTGGCGCCAAAACTCAAATTTCGCAATGCAGGCAAAATTACACAAGCACGTTCACTTAACGTAAACTTCAACAGAAGAAAAAAAAGAGAAAAAACATGGCTGACTTTAAGTACAGTCATTAAAGTACTTTTTAATCACATCAATTTGCAATCCCCGCTTGGCACGTTAGTATCAAATGTACAGTTTGCATTATTTAATTATATGTTATTTTAATTAAATAACTTTTTTAGGTCTCCGGGGCTAATTAATACATAAACTTGAAACGACTTGGGCAGAAACGAGCTGTCTTCTTTGTGGATTGCTTAAATTCTTTGCACAATAACTTAAGCGTCTTCTTTTCTTAAATTCCATCTAATAATATTTAATATAGGATTATTTTCATTTCAATGCTTTATATCCCAGTTGATTAATGTCTCAAATTAATCATCTTAATTTCATTTCATTTAATATCACTCCATATTATCATTTTTCATAAAAAATAAGAATATAAATTAAAAGTAAGACATGACTTAAAGATCTTAGTTACCAGGCCAATAACTGCCTTAAAAAAAATTGTTGTGGTTCAGTGGTTTGACTAGAATAATAGACCAGTAGAGAAAGGGCAGTCATAGATTAAACACGTAATTGAGGGCAGTGTTTTTTGAACTTAGTTATCGCATTTAATTGTAACAAACATGACATCATTATTAAGTTATGAGACTTTAGTGCACGCTACAGCTGGTGCTGCGGTATGTATACACAATGTATTGTTAACATTTTTAAGTACAGATACTTATTGTTTAACATTTTAATCAAATATTTCAGGGCAGCGTCGTGGGCATGACAATATTTTATCCGTTAGATACACTCAGGTCACGGATTCAAGGTATTTAAATAAAACTTGTGACATATACTTAAATACTGTTACAACTAAAAATTAAAAAAAATCTATTGCAAATAACATTTATTACTTTTACAGTGTGTTAGTTTAATACATAAATATAAAACAATTTAAAGTATAAAAAGCTTATTCGAAGTGGTCTCCATTGGCTGCAATACAGTCCTTTAAACGTTGAGGCCAGTTATCAATAAAAGCACGCACTCTTTCCATGGGAAAATTTTTCACTACCAATCGTACGGATTGTTTTAGGGACTCCAAATTATCATGGCGTTTAGAGCAAGCCGTACTCTCTAAAACTGACCATAATCCTAATCATAATCCAGCGGATTAAGATCGGGACTAGACTACGGCCAGTCTTCAGCTCTGATGAAGTCCGAAACGTTCGTTTCCAACCAAGACTACGTAGACCGAGCTTTATGGCACCGAGTCTTGCTGGAAGGACCATTCTTGATTATTAAACATGGTGTTGTTAAGGGGCTTCACTACCTTCACAAGAATGGTATCTTGATACACTTGTGCCGATGTTTTGATACCTTTTTCACAAAAGTATGGCTTAGTCACTGCTTCATAGCTAATACCCCACCAAACCATCACTGAAATCGGATAGTGCCCACGTTGCACTCTGTCGACTAATTGGGAAGCTTCCTTAGAGCGTTGAGCATAAATACGGTCATTTTGTTTGTTAAAATGTTGCTCAATTGTAAAAAATTTCTCATCCGTAAACAAAATTTTACTATGACCTCCCTTTGCATACCGCTTCAGTAGTTGTTTCGGTTTTACCACCCTATTCTCTTTTAAATTATCAGTTAAGAAATGAACAGTACGTCTCTTATAGGCTGTAAGTCCTAAGTCATCTTTTAAAATACGCGACATGGTTCTAGGTGCTCCCGAGATAAAATCTTTTGCTTTCGGGCAGGATTTCTTCGAATTCTTTCCCTTGCTGCTTTGACCACCTTTTTCGTACGAACACTACGTGGACGGCCAGATCTTTTTCTGTCACAAACAGAGGAGGTCTCATTGCACCTATTAATAGCCCGGTACACAAACATTTTACTAATACCAAGCGTATGGAGAGTTTTAAAAATTGAATTTGGCTCCATACCTACTTTGTGTAATGCAATCACAGCGATTCGGTTCTCTTTATCACCCCACTCCATTTTAATATCGCAAAATATTGTACAATTTATTGGCGCCAAAATGAGAAAACTCAATGAGCAATCATATAAAATGACAGAATCCAAATTTAAATGTAATATTTTGTTTATTTTTAATTGTAACAGTATTTATGGCCAGACTAAGTATTCACAGTAGAGTTAATCTTATTAATTATGTACACATAATGCTTATTTAAAGGTATGAAAGAAATTTGTCTAAATAATCAGCCTAATATTATTTTCAACCATGTCAATTATTGTAATTAGGTACTAATATTAGTCAAGATTAAATAATACTAATAATAATTTTCATAACATACTATTTCAGTTGAGGATTCGAAGAAGTTACAAGGATCGACACTGGGATTATTAATAAAACTAGCTAGTGAAGAAGGTATACAGTCTCTTTACAGAGGTTTATCACCAGTTTTACAGTCAATTTCAGTATCCAACTTTGTTTACTTTTACTCATTCCATGCATTACGAAATATATCTTCCCAGCCAACAACAGCATTGCCTGATCTACTTTTTGGTTTAATTGCTGGAAGTATCAATGTTATTTTAACATCACCGCTATGGGTTGTAAACACAAGAATGAAGTTGGAAAAAAACAATTACAAAAATTTATTTGAAGGTCTCCTTGAACTAGCAAGAACGGAAGGCGCAAAAGGCCTTTGGTCTGGCACTGTTCCTTCACTACTTCTAGTTTCAAATCCAGCTATTCAGTTTATGGTGTATGAATCTCTAAAACGAACATTTATGTCCCAAGGCTCATTCCATACATACACATCATTTTTAGTTGGGGCTACAGCAAAATCTGTAGCCACAATCCTAACCTACCCCTTACAAGTAATTCAATCTAGACTTCGTGCTGGTACTAATTTGAAAACATTGGTGAAAGATATTAAGTCAAAACCAATTTCAATGTTCCGTGGACTGGAAGCCAAGCTTTTGCAAACAGTCATGACAGCTGCTTTGATGTTTGTTGTTTATGAAAAACTTGCTAATTTAGTTTTAATTATTATGAGAATTGAGAAGGAAAATACTCACTGACTAGAAAAATTAAGTTTCTCAGAGTTATAGATTAGAAAACATGCAGTTTCTCTTTTAAATAATAATCCAAGTAAGGGGCCGTTTACGTATTACATAAGTAGATTTATTACAATTATTTACCACTCCTTTCCCCTTGTCAGCAAATGTAAGCAAAGCTCTGACGTGCGTTATCGTGGTGAAACAACACCTTTTTTTTTGCCAAATGAGGCCGTGTGTCCTTCAATTTTTTAAAGAAGTGTACCAATAACTTATTTTAGTATTGTCCAATATGTCCAATGATCGTTCTTCCTTTTTCTAAAAAATCCATGTGCATGACTCACTTCGCCTCCCAAAACAATCGTCGTCATGACCTTTCCAGCCGATGGGACCGTATTCGCCTTCCTTGGAGCAGATTCACCGGGAGAAATCCATTGTTTTCATTGTTGTGTAGTTTCTTGTGTGTAATGACGAATCCAGGCTGCGTCAATGGTGAAAACTCGACGCAAAAAGTTCTTCAGATCTTCCTTGAATCGCTTCAAACAATGCTGCGAAGTTAACAGCCGTATCGGGTTGTTGTCCACCGTGAGCATTCGCGGCACCCATCGGGTCGACCACTTTTTCATCGCCAACTTAGCATATAAAATATAAATTGCTGTTCCGGTCGACACACTTATTGCCTTAGCTACTTCGCGCGCTTTAGTTCGTCAATCATCGAGAATCATGTCGTGGATTTTTTCAATGGTTTCTTCGCTAACCACATCTGCCGGGCGTCCTGGTCTCTCCTCACCCAAAACGAGTGTTCATAAACGTTTAAATTCATTTAATCAATATCTAACTATGGTCATAGGTCACATGTCCCCTTAAACAGCATCCAACTTTGCTTTTATCTTCTCGCATTTTTTCCCATCCAAATACAAAAAGCGAATTACTGAACATTACTGCACTTTTTCCATCTTACCGAAAATCACGAAACACCTCTTACTCGAATAGCTGCCAAATCCAAATTAACCTAAAAATTAATCTAAATTTTGTTTTGGCGTCGTTTGATAGATGACCATACGCGATAATAACACCAACTTCCTTCAAAAACGTCCTATGTCTTCAAACGTGACTTATTGAACCGCCCTAGTAAGGCACAAATGTTATAATCTTAAGTAATATTACTAACAAAAAAACTTAAATTTTTGGTATACATATTAATTCCAATCCACAGTCTTCAATCCATGACATCCGAATCCATTATTCTAAGTTTTCGATGATATTGGATGTATGCTGCTCAATGTTGTGTGTGCAAAGACTTTCATCCGATTTTGGGATGTCTACGTCATTCTTATCGAGCCATTTAACATTTTGGTGCTCTAAATTTTGAATAATGCACATCAGTTCATTGGCACGACGAGCAGCCACTCTTATAGGCCTAACTTTCATAACAGTGTACGTGTTTTTATGGATCTTCTTGATGTGACAATTTAGTGACTTGACGGAAGCATGATAAATACCACACGGTTTGCATGTTCGAAATTGACTGGCAGATTGAGAAGTTGCCCTCCATCATCCATTGAACTCCAGACCTCAGCTAACACATTTCCTGCAAACTCGGAATGGATCTTTCTAAATGTTCATTAATCATAATGCCACGTTCATCCATAATGGTCATGAGGCAATATCAAACCAACCACTTCCCGACTAAGACGAGCCATTCTGCGCTCTATTCTGTTGTACGCACTTCTATCGGGAGCATTGGTAGCTAAAAACAATGCATCGAGATCATGTCGCTTAAAGTGTTGTTTATATAGCAAACCCTATAACGGATTTTCATGTGGTCCTCCATAAACCGTCATAATTACCACTGGTTTTACCAATCCTTGGTCAGTTTTAGCTAATGCTCGAAACTCTTCAAGTTGGAGAAGCGTCTTGAAATTCTGGGCATGAGTATTAGTAGTAGATGAACTATGCTTTCCACTTCGAATAGCGATGTATTTTGATCCAGAATATTCGACGGCTTGCGGTTGTCCTAGCATACTGGAAGTGATTTTGATACCAGCATAAACTGAAGGTATTAATTTATGCCGCTCAGCGATTATCCAGCCGTAATCAGGCAATTTGATTCTATATTCTATGTTCATTAGAAGAGGTGCTTGCTTATTTGCCGCAGTTACTCCAATAGGGACCCGAGCTTTATCATCTTGAGATATGAAAAATACTTGATCGGTCCAAGTATGTTTCACAATACGATTGTTACAGCGAAATTGCTATCTAAGTGGCTTTTGTGGTGATCAGCCTGAGCCCGATTGAGCTTAACAGGGACTGTCAATACAATACCTCTTCGTCCCTCTGCAGAATTAAGATTTTCTGGGAATCAAACGAAGATATGTCCCACTTCGACTCATGTCCAATCCTATTTTACGTAATTCTTGTGTGAGTTCATCAAGAGTTTTTACACTGCGAATAGATTCCGTTCGTCTTCTATCATCTACTACACTCCCAAATAAAGCATTATCCGCAATTGTTTTCAATAGCAATGGTTGATCGTTTTAGGACGCCCCACTGAATCCCTCAGGGACAGTTTTTTTTATTTCTGGATTTTCATCACAAATATCTTCTAACTTCTTTTCATACCATCTGTTTCTTCTGGGCAACTGCGTTTTGAATCTTCCTGTTTAATGACTGTTTCGCTGTTTTTAATTCTTCATGCAACTTAATGATTTGTTTATTAACTTCATGCGTATTAGCCCGTGCGGACTCACAAGAGGTCCTACCACCCTTTGTAGGCAGCGGCTTGGATCTGCCCCTGGCATTGCTGAAGTCCATGGGCGACGGTAACCACTCACCATCAGGTGGGCCGTATGCTCGTCTGCCTACAAGGGCAAGTACGCATTTCATTAGAAAAATTGGTACCCGCCTGCGGGATTCGAACACCGTTGCATCGCAGATACGAATCACCGGACGTTTTATCCTTTAGGCCACGACGACTTTTCTAAAATTAACTACACAATGCAACAATTTTCAATTTCTAACATTTCTAGTGTAGTTGTAATATTTACAGTTGGCTTATACTTAAAATGCTTTCATCACTCACCTTGGAAAAAAAACGTAGTAGATTAGATTTACGCTAGTTTATTTAGGCTGCTTGCAATTCTTCCTCAATTCTCTTAGAGACAATAATATTAAGTTTCTTGTCGGACTTTGCTTATACCTTATAATTACGCCACACTTCTACTACTACTACTAACTTTTGTACATTTGTATTTGTATGAGATTTTTTAAAACTTTCGAAAATTTTTGGTATAGCTTGGCTTTGTCTATTTAAAACGACGTCTTAAACAATTCAACTTTGGCGAAATTAGATCAACGATAACACAAACATTATCTTCCTTTACTTACAACATGTCAAATTGCCAATCGTACCGAAACGAAACAGATTGACGGAAGAAATTTAGACAAGTGAATAGCGCGCGATAATTCCCCTACTCTGTTCCAAGCGATTACCTAAACATATTCATTATTTATGGGAATCCCCGAAAATGTGTTTCGTTTTCAAGCATAGACAACGTGTAGGTTGCCAATATGTGTAAAAAAATAGGAAATAACTACTGCTGACGTAATCACCATCTAGACCCCCCAGTGATATGGATATTGTTGTATATGAAGTAGATGCTAACGGTGTAAGATTAACAAAAACGAAATGTTTATGCAATAGTTATTACTTTATAAAGTTACTGTCCAAATCTTACATAGATCTGACATCATTCCAACAACAATCTAATCATACGACCCTCATTATGCATTCTATGGCAGTCTTCGCATTAGCTATAGTTTAGTAAAATTATTTATTGAACACGTTAGAGAAGTAACAATTTATACTATCTCCATTTATTTATTTTCTGGATGACAACTCCTGTGGAAACTTAAACGAGCGTCTTTTTACATTAATTAATAAAAATATGACGCTTACATACACAAGGTACAAGGTCATAGTAGAGTCAGAGTAACTGATAGGGATCGATAAACGTAAAACGATAACAGGCCCCATATTTTTTTACAAAGCCGGATAATTTTGTACATTTTTTTTAACTAATATTACATTTCACTACAAGATGTAATTATATTATGTTGATTCTTTATTTATTTATTTTAATCAAAATCTGATGAATCGTCACTGTTAACGACGCTATAATGTTTTGGGTCCTTCTCACAATTTTCCCAGTGTTCGGCGGTTACTTCCGCGCATGCATTTTTTAATAAATCTAACATCTTGTTTGCCGTAAAAGGGGATGGGTATTGTTTCAAGCGGCGCGGCGTGTCCTTTGACGTACCCATATTAGTTCTATAGCATTGTGCTGGCAATGATACGGCGGAAGTCGAAGAACCCAAGGACCACATTCGGCAGCTATTTCGTCGGTAATATATATTTTAGGGGTTTTTTTTTCGATTTTAAAATATTCACTAATTGTACTTTTAATAGAGTATTATCCACATTTTCGTCATGACGTTGGAGCCAGTCAATTATCTCCGGACCACGAGGTATCGGCCTGACGTCACAGCAAATCGGTTTTCGGTGCGTGTGTCCAATGTAGTGGACTGGTGCGCATCGACACGGCTGAAATTTGTTTCGGAATAAAATGTAAAAGTGTGGTGTATGTAGTTGTGTGTAAGTGTATATGTAGGAGTAGTTCACAGTACTAAATCAGGGTGGTAGTTACAAGTGTCGCCATATATTTTAGTAAATGTAGTTTCATTCGTTACCTAGTTCACACCATTGCCAGTGTCAATCAGTAATTTCACCATTACATTATTGATCATAACGGGTTATTCTCCGGGATCATTCTCCTTGTTGCATTTTATTTCGAGAGTCTTCTTTATATTTTTGGGATAGTCAGTTGACTTATGTCCAAAGTCATTACAGCGGAAGCACTTTATTCCTTTAGAGCAGCTAAAAAGATTCATAATCTAGGTGGCTGCAGTTGAAGCATCTCATCTTAGTTAATGCTTTCTTCCATCCAGATGCTGTAGGTTTGAATGTTGTTGATTGATTATAAGTTCTTTTTGACGTTCGACATTTCTTCTTTATTTCAGCATATAAATCAAGTTTTTTTCCTAAATTCTTTGATGTTGGAAGCCCCATATAGTATAGTTTTATTCATTTCATGTCATGGTATCCCTAATACCATTGATGATGTATTCCATCAGGGCTTATCTTTAATCTTTCCGAGTATTGGGACTTCTTTAAGTTGCATAAAATATTGTTGATATGTTTCACCTGGTTTCATCTTCCTATTTGATATGGTCTTGCGAATGGGTGCGCTGTATGTAGTCCAAATTCTTTTAATCCCGTTATCAAGTGTTCCCATGTAGTCGTGCCAGTCAAAGATCTGAGGAACAGTTTTGCTGTCCCCTTCAAAAGCCTTTTTGCGTAGATCAGTTTTTCAATGTCAGTCCATTGCATGAGATTAGCCATATCTTCGAAATCCTTAGGTAATCCACGCCGTATGCATCGTCAAATGCATCCATAGATTTTTTAATTCGCAGAAGGAAATTGTGGAGCAGGTTCAGCAAAGCATTCTTCGTCTGCCCCACCCTCCGAGGCATTTTACTCTTCATTGAATTATTTGTAAACGTCTTGAGATGAAATTTGGAATATGAATAATCTCAGTTTTTCCAGCGTGCGTAGTTTTCGTTCGCAACTTTTGTACACCGATCACAGATTTTGATGTCGATCTCGATCCCGGACGGGCCCCCAAAAATTTGTAGAATAGCGGTGCACAATGAATTAACCGAATTTGTTGAATTTCATTTTTAATCATTAACTCATAACAAATTTACGTCTTTCTGCTTTTTCTTTTTTTTTATTTAATCATCAACTCACGAAAAATTTAAGTCTTTCTTTCTTTCTTTTTAATTAATCGTATTAAGACAGACTATAGAGTTCATGCGCCACCTGTCATCTGTCAGGTCGGTGTGGCCACTGGCCACGATTAAACCAAATTATTCCTACATATAACTATAACGATATAGGTTGAAATTTTATGTCGGATAGAGAGCACAGATATGTTGCCTCCTAAATGGCTCCTACCAATTATAAAGATTTTTTTGGGCGAAACAATACAATAGCCAAATTCTTCACCAAAAAATTAATATCTTAGAAGTACGAATTATCTTTTTAGAATAAGGTTGGAAATCAGTCTAGAGTTGTAGGCAGCGGATTGACTGATCTTTGACCCACTTGTTGTCCATGAATGACCTTTACCACGTATAGGTGAGGCATTAGTTAGTCTTGCTTCAAAAGCAACAGTGAACTGGACACTTGAAGGTGAAAGTAAACCAAAAATTAGACATCCTCTACATCTAGTCATTATTACATCTACATTTATTGTTGAGTTAATAATTATAGTACCTTATTGTTTAAAATTAACTTGTCAAAAATTGTAATTCCCATGACAAAAATGTTACCTTTATACTTTATTGCATTATTATAATTAATTGTTAGTTTAAATCAAATTCTCTTGTTTTCTTTTGAACTAATTTTGTCACCGTTATTTATTTATGTTTAACTACTTACATTCAATACTTATTTTTCACTTTACTTATTTTTCAATCAATTTCAATCATCATTGTCAATATGGAAAATTAGTACATTTGGTATGTTTTCTAATTAATTTCAAAGCTACTCTTCATTAATTAAACTGTGATTCAATATTAGTAGTAAGTAGTTAGTGTGTAAGAATAAAGAATGGTTTTGGTCAGTTCACAGAATTTTCGTTAATAAAACTTTGTTTAAAATATTCTTTTTTTATTTTAATTTCATAGACGTAAGAAAATTTAATATAAGACGTTCAAGAAATATTATGGTATAATTATACTATATATAATTAAATCAAGTATTATTATTAATTTTTTGCAGCAAAATTATTTTATTTTAACAAATACAAAATCCATTTATTTTATACATTAATAGGTTTACACTAATTTCATATCTTCAGATGTGCGAATAATAACTTGAGTATATTCCTTTACCAGCGAATCTATCTCGTCGTGTACCTATTAATTAGAAAAGCATGAATTATTGTGTAATATAAAATAATAAAGATTGGCTTAATGAACCAACAAATCATAACACAATTTAGACTTAGAATTGGACAATTATTAAAATAAACATTTAAATTCCCATAAATGTAGCACCGTCCTGCATACTTCTGTTGCGAAACAGTCATGTGTTCCAGTTTCATGGGTGGTACGGCTGTTCTACAAAACATTTGAGACTTTAAACTCATGTCTAAAGGTGCGTATCGAAATATCGCCATTCCACTGTTAAATATTACGAATTCACACTATCAAGCCGTAAATTCGTTAATCGATTTAGTGAAATAATATTGCCCGTTTATAAATTTCGTAGAAGGGTAGAAAACTTTTTTTTTATGATTGAAGGATTACTGGTGGCCCGGAGGCCTTTCCAGTTTCACCAGGACCGGTGGGCGAGCAAAGGCAGGAGGAGTGGAATTTGCTAACAGCTGCCCGAGCGCCTCCGAAGGAGACCTAACAACTCAAGAGGAACTGCTTCGCGAATGAATCTACTACAGGATCGGAATCGCGACCCGCTGAGAAGATCCGGCTAGAAACTCAGCGGGCTGATGCATGTGTTAGGTTGCACGTCGACCTCTTTGTAGAGTTCGACGAGTACGGTTACCGGGGTCCCTAAGCTTGCTCCTAGTGTTAGAGCTGAAGGCGTCTAATGCAAAGGTTATTGGGTCTGATGGATCTGTTAGGACGTGGAGTAGAAACCTGTTTGGCGTATGGTTGTTGATGGTCGGCGAGCTCTGCCAGTAATAAATCAGCTAGCGAGAGGTGCGCCATAGCAGGCGGTCCGCGCGGCTGCAGTGTGGCCAGCGAGGCTCGTGCCAGCGCGCACCACGCCGCCCCCGCTTCGCCCGCGCGCCCTCCGCTCAGTAACGCACGCACGCAGCCCGCTCCGTCAACCTCCTATCAAATATACATATTATTGCAATTCAATGCAATTCAATTTGTCCGTCGACAAATCTATTAGTTTATTAAATTATTTTGTCTATCAAAACAATAAAACTTTGTGCCTAAAGTGAAAAAAAGAAGCACGAATTAAAATTTACTTAAAAATAACATTATTAATATATATGTTTTCGTCATATTTCTAGAAGTTAAAATTTAAAAAAATATCAAACTTTAAACTAATTATAAAACGTATTATATTACTTACCAAATACCTATGCAAAAACCACCGCGGTAGAAACTGTCCTGTACTTATTGCTCTTTTAGTTACTGTGAGCAAGGTATCTGCGTTTGCATCTTTCAAGGTTGTATACAGACGGTCGAAGTTTATGTTTTCACTGTCTGTAATTTTTTATTTATTTTAATATTAATAATTTATTATTCCATTCTAATTCTACAAATAGTTCTTTCTACAATTCAATCTAGTAGAGGAGGCCACGACCCTCAGCACTGAGGATTATCGACGCAAGGAGGAGGAATTCTACAAATACTATATGTGTATGAACTCACAACATTGAAATTTTATTTTAAATTAAAACTAATGCTCTTTCAAAATTAGTTGTAAATTTGTCCTCGCTTCGTCTAATTTTTGTCCAACATCGCTCTATACCCTACTATAGAAAAGTTAAGTTAAATTGCATCTGTGCTATATTTGGTGGTACAATGGTATGTGGTATATAAAGCCGACTGCCACACATCAATGTACTATTAGATCTTTCTGTGTACGAAGAAACGATCAAATAAAGATTTTACTTTGTTAATACGATGATATAATTAGCACGATGTTCAATTATTAATAAGAAATAAGATTTTAGTTGCCTGTGACTCCAAATACCGCAGAGTTCGCATCGTCAGACACTTTAAATTAAAAATAGTATATCGAGATTAAACCGTGAGTATAGTTTTAAATATTGTAAAATACAGTCAAACCTGGATAAGCGAGAGTTCAAGGGAGCACAATCTCATTCTCGCTTATGGAGGTTTCTCCCTAACCCGAGTTTCTCGCTAATGCTCCCTCTGTATTTCATTTCGCGATTTTCCGGATTCAAACGTTTTCACTATTTTAAGTTTATCACTTAATGACGGTACTTTAATTTTCCGTTTTGACACGATGCAGAACAACTTTAATTTTCCGTTTTGACATGATGCAGAACAGAACTTTCCTTCCCAATTGATTAACGATAAACTGAGTAAGTCCGACAAACAGGACGGTACACAGGCACACGTGTCCATTCGAAAGGAATGCGATAAAATAACAGCGTTATTTAGTTCCACGAAATAGAATAGGTTTAATATTGACGAGAAAACAATACAAAAACAATGGATGGAAGTTCCACAAAAGTTAAGAATGAGTTATAAAATAGCAGATGTTAAATTTGTAATTTGTTTTGTTATTTGTAAACCCCTAAATAAAATAAATAAATAAAGCTCGACTGTCGCTTATAGAGGTATAGATAAGTAGCAGTCTCACTTACGGAGGTCCATGAGGGAAAAACCACTCTCTTACTTACAGAGGTTTCTGTTTCTCGCTAATAGAGGTTTTGGCAGCTTAAAATGACGGGTCCTGGCTACTACTCTCACTTATAGAGTTTTCTCACTTAGCCAGTTGTCACTTACCCAGGTTTGACTGTATATTTAATGACAACATGAGCGACGTAAGCATGGTGGTAACAACTTCGAGTGTAGAGCTTCCGATCTTTACTGGAGTGGGCGCTACATGAGTATTCAACATATTTTTTTGTTTTATCCATGTTCATATTCAGACGCACTCTGATAGAAGCCCTACTGAGGTCTTTGAACATTGTACTGAAGTCCTCCAGGGTCTCGGCCATAAATACAATATCGAAATTCGCCGTTGATGCCGAGACAGATCTCTCGCGAACACTTTGGAGCCTTTGTTTCGTTCTATAACCTCTATATGTTCAGTATTAAAACGGCGTAGATCAAATTGAAGAGTGTTTGAGATCTGCTTGTTGAGATGTCGATATTTACACGAATCTTCTGAAGACTTCAAAATAATTCCATGACGTCCTTCCATGAGTTTGAGAGTAGGGTTTGAAAGCTTTTTGGTTCTGTTTGTACGACGGGCTCGAAAAAACTTGGAACCGATCGTATGGACAGCTTTCACAAACCCGTCATTGTAATCGTCCACGGAGCCTCCCAGGCTATCGAAGCGGTTTTGAAGTTCGAGCTGAAAATGCCCAGAACTTTGGACTTGAGCTGGTGCTGGACGGAGCGTAGACCTCATCCGACCGTAAGGGGGGGGGGGGGTCATAATCGCCACGCTTGGCATGCGGGTTGGCAATCGCAGTGTGCTGTTATGATACTCGGAGAAAGCGTTTTCCCTTAGTCGCCCTTACGACACCCACGGGAGCAGAAGGGGAGGTGTTATTCTTTCACACGAGGAGGCCGACATCACACGGCCAAAATAAAATTTAGCCTAGTAAAACTATAGCGCAAACTGAGTTGCTCTATAAAGAGAAACAACATTTAAAGCTATTGCTTCACCAGTTTTTATGTCTTTTATATTTCAATATTCAACTTCGATCAACAATAGTAACTGTTGATCGAATATATTCAAAAATGTATATAATAAAGGTGAGGTATTTGGAGTTCGAATTATGTCAGTTTTTAATCCGTGATACAGAATTTTGTGTGTTTACTATTTTACTGTTTACCATAGCAGCTGCTGAATAGTTTAAACAATGACGTAAAGTTTTGTGGACATTGGCAACATCATCTCTTTACTTGTTCTTTAAAGAAGAATATTATATAAGGATAGGTACACATAATTATACACAAAAAATGTGACATAAATTTAAAAGTACGCATATTAAATTGAAATAGATAAGACTTAACCTTTCTGACCGAATCAGAGCCGATAAACATTTTTTTAACAAAATTAGACGACATTAACCTCGATATTCTAACGTCGGTGAACAACCGTACCGTATTGACTATTTATGTACTTCTTTGATAACTATCCGCAGAAAATAAATATAAAATTAATAAATGCACCTATAGCTAGTTACCAGAAAAAATAAATTAAAATTCGAGTTCAGGGTTAAAGCCAGTGAAGATGTGAAAATAAATATTTGTTTTTGTTTTTTTCTGTTATTGCTAGATGGGTGGACGAGCTCACAGCCCACCTGGTGTTAAGTGGTTACTGGAGGCCATAGACATCTACGACATAAATGCGCCACCCACTATGAGATATAAGTTCTAAGGTCTCAGTATAGTTACAACAGCTGCCTCTTTCAAACCGGAACGCATTACTGCTTCACGGCAGAAATAGGCAGGGCGGTGGTACCTACCCGCGCGGATTCACAAGAGGTCCTACCACCCGTAATTACGCAAATTATAATTTTGCAGGTTTCATTTTTATTACACGATGTTATTCCTTCACCGTGGAAGTCAATCGTGAACATTTGCTGAGTACGTATTTCATTAGAAAAATTGGTACCCGCCGGGATTCGAACACCGGTGCATCGCTCAACACGAATGCACCCGAAGTCTTATCCCTTAGGCCACGACGACTTCACGGATTTATTGGCCGCGCCATTACGATTCTAGATAAGTTACAACCTGTAAAATTACATAATAAAATGGTACAGACCGAAATCTTTCAGAAAGTAATGGCTACATTACAAAGACGGCATGAGAAACGACAAGTGTGGATATCCATGAACCCGCAGATGAAGGCTGTTTATTGTGATGAAGATGGAAATAAGCAATTTATGGGATACCTATTGGAGGAACAAACAAAACCACAAACTTCAACAACCGGAATTTCGGAAATTTCTCTAGCAAGAATCATAGAAAAATTTGCTGAAATAAAAAAAGATTCGTCAAATCCATTTAATATAGGGAGAACGGCAGAAAAATTTTTTATACAAAAATTCAGCAAGATTACTAATGTGTCCCCTTTGAAGCAGAATGTGCCCGTATAGGAATAAAAATAGATGAAAAATAATTTTTGTGGAACATATGCGGATAANATTTCGGAAATTTCTCTAGCAAGAATCATAGAAAAATTTGCTGAAATAAAAAAAGATTCGTCAAATCCATTTAATATAGGGAGAACGGCAGAAAAATTTTTTATACAAAAATTCAGCAAGATTACTAATGTGTCCCCTTTGAAGCAGAATGTGCCCGTATAGGAATAAAAATAGATGAAAAATAATTTTTGTGGAACATATGCGGATAATGGTTGGTCTCCGATCAGGACTGCGATATTATTTAAATACAGTGAGGGTTCATTACTGGAGTATGCGGTAAAGAAAGTATAACTTATACTTATATATACCTTATGATGGATGATAGAAAGTATACTTTATATATATAAAGTATATATATAAAGACTATATGATATTAGCGGCTTCTCTCCGGCCAATTCCAAACGTGTACGATCCGGTCTATTTGAAAAGAAAAAAGCGGGCCGATGCTCTTCGAGCCGGTCTGTGTGAACAGACCCTGAGACATCAACAGCATAACTGCCGCCACCCACCTTAAGACATAACATTTATAGTATAGTACAACGGCTGTACCCTTCAAATCGAGACGTATTACTGCTACACAACAGAAATAGGCAGGGCGGTGGTGGTACCTATTCGTGCGGGCTCACAAGACTCTACCACCAGCTACAATGATATTTATAATTTTTGTATATTTGATTTTATTACTCGATGTGATTTCTTCACCGTGAAAGTCATTCATGAATATTTAAGTACTTTTTTGATTAGAAAAACTGGTATCGATGCGGGATTCGAACACAGGCACAGTCGCTCGCATTTCTCGATAGTGGATACAATTGCACCGGGCGTCTTATCCTTAAAGCCATGACGACTTCAAGTATACAACATGTGCAATATATGTAACGGGTATAGTATAATGGAGACTGCCATCTGATGTTTCCACGTCAGCGCTGGTGCCTTACAATATGCCCTACCATTAGTAAGTTGACAATCGTAGTACGCTGATATAATCCTCATAGAACGCAGTTGCCTATTCTACCGTCCGAGTATCATCCATCAGAGTAGACTTTTAGTCTTGGTCGTCGCAGAAAGAAAATGGAGCCTTATTTTTTTTAACTTATGGTACTCCTTTCATCCTAACCCGTTCATTTAATATATTGTTTCTATTTTTTCTAAAAACTAAGCACAATATCTCTAAAAACATGTTTGGGATTGTTATATAGCACATTAATATACTCGTAGATAAGTCACATGATTTGTGTTGAAATTTTAAAGGTTTTTGAGGTTTTCAATAATAAAATCATAACAAAACTGACATTTAAGGTGTACACAGAGTATTTAAAAAGGCTAACTTATCCGTTTACATGTAAAGTCAATGATGATGTCATTTCAAGGTACAAACAAAGTTGAATCAAATTTGATTAAAAATATAGGTAATTAATTATTAAGAGAAAAAAAAACTGGTTTTCTGTAATCCGCTAATCTAGTTTTCAAAATGATTTTTCAATCAAATATGGAATTAAAAAAAAGGTCAATGCCCATAATACTTACTAAGCAGAGCTTGTTTTACTGGGTCTTGTGAATCCGGGACTTCTTCACGTAATTCCGCTGCTAATTCTTCGGGACCGATTACCTGGTGATTTTTTTATGTTTAGGCAAGACGAGCTCACTTCCGGTCAGTGAACCCACGGATACCACAACGTGATGGGGCTGTACAGCCTCGAGACATGAGATCAGAATCAAACTGCACATTATTGTAGTAGTTACACTATACAAGTAGATAATATCGTTCGAAATACAAATGTACAATACAACTTCAGATACAAAGACTTCACCGTCCTTAAACATGGAGACATGCAATCCGAACGCAAGAAAATATTTTCTAAAAATAGAAAATAATAAAATTAAAATAATTAACGGAACATTAAATCGTCTTTTCGTATTAAAAGTGTATAATTTCCAAAAATATTCGAAATTAAGTTAATATGCGGAATCATTTAGTATCACCAGTTTTTTTCTCATAAATACTGTCAAAAGAGCGTAGTTTAGTTTTAATTAATTTATTTTAGTTTACCTATATTTTGACTACTATTAACAAAATTAATATATAATTTTGCCTTACTTTAAAAGACAGATAATGTAACTGGTAAAAAATAAAAAATAAATGCTGGAAAGATGATTAATTAATATTAAAAATATCACATGTTAATCCTTAAAAACACTCTCCTGTAAAATTAGTAAGTTTTGAGATTATACAGTTTTAACGCGAGAAGACGAAATGTATAGTAGAATTATTTTGTCCGTGCAGTTTGGGTCATAAAAAATCGGAGCGGTGAAGCGAGTATTTCGCTCTCTCTTCCACTCACGAGCCTTATGGACGGGCATAGTGATGCGCATTATTGTTGTTGATAAGCGTTATCGATAGTGTATTTAATTTTGTTATTTTGTAGGTTAGTGATAAAAACGAAAGAAAAAATGACTAATCGAACCCTTACACCACATATCGCCGCAGCAAGCTAACGAGAACGACAGAAATTAACACTTTCTAACTTTTTAGGATCTATTCTCATTTCAGTGAAGTTTTTTAACACATTATTGATAATAACACGTGCTTGTGCTGGTATATTTTTGGCCACAAGCAAAATATTTGAATAAATTCTGCCGTTTTGGTACAAAACAAAGGAGTAGCCATTGTGTCACTAAAGAAATTCAGAGAGCGAATGCACAAAATCACATTTCTCTTCGACGTATCTACTATAATTTGCAGGTAGGTACAACAAATGACACATATACAATGTCTCACCACCCTTCGTATACCACCTCGCCGCCGTGTGCCTGCCTTCGATGAGTCATTTGTTTTTATCGATAATGGCGTTGCGCCCGCGCAACATGCTCACCGCCAGGCTATGTTTTATGACCCAAACGGACAAAATAATTCTACTATAGTTTTGATTTGGTTTAAAGACAAATTAAAGATCATGTCTTGTCGTGTAGTGTAAGGTGTACCTGTAGTTTGGAGTCTAGATGCGTGGCGGGTCGCGCTATGAAGGCGTGGTCGGGGCGCGCCATGCGCAGCGCGGTGAGCGCCGCGGCGAGGTACCGGCGCCGCACCGCAGCGCCGCCGCCCTCCGCCGCGCACCGAGCCGCGCGCTCGTACATCACTGCGGCCGCTGTGTCGACACAAGACAACTCTACGTCTTGAAAATATTCACAATAGCTTGCTTTACCATGATTCGCCCGGTGAGCCTGGCATAGCTGTCGAGGTTACCAGATAGGAAAAAACATGTATGCAAAACAATAATAAATGAAAAAATAAGATGATCACTGAAATTAATCAAAATATCGTCGTTGTCAAACCAAAATTTCTGTTCCACAAATACACGATGCGGTAGCTTCTCTCAAGTTTTAACCAAATATTTCTCAACCTTATTTATTAACTTTCATAATAATATTGTATTTGTCAGTTGCTATTTTGACACAGATAGCGACTTCATGAGTTTGAAATTAAAACTGCATAGGCACCTTTTCTGTAGTGGTGTCTGGAGAGATGCAGCGCGTAGAGGAAGTCGTAATAAGGGTTGTGTGTGTGCGCGTCGTGCAGTGCGGCGCGCGCGGCTGCGGCTCGCTCCGCCTCCTCGGCCATCGTCGCGCACTGCACCAGTGCGCCCAGCTCGCCGCGACTGCCTGTGACACAACCGACATACTTAGTCACGTTTAGCTTTCAAGCGTCGATATAATAAACGGTATCCGGCGTCTTTGCTTTGCCCCTAATATTGCGCTAACGACTAGCGGTCTCAATCTAGAAAATAAAAGAATATAAATATCAACATGTTAGATACATTTTCCCAAATTAGAACAATAAATAATTTAAAAGTTTCTATAATATTACCTACATAACCGATTGTTGACATACCTACAATATTTAAAAAAAAAAAAAATACTTTCAATTAAACGTATGCAATATTCGTAGATCGTGTCGTGTGTTGTAATGGAAGCTTTAACATCCGCCTTTGTTCCTAAACCCTAGTTAGTAGAAGTATTGGATTGAGTTCCGTGGTCTGTAGTTATCACTAGTCCCAAATGATGTATTATGTAGGGGAGCCCAAGCGGGGATTTCGGGATTTACGAAAGCGCGGCAGATTAATATACAGGGGATACCTTGTACCCGGTTAAGTAATAATGTCCGCGAGTTTGCGTCACCTCGAAATCGTCAGATTATTGCATGAGAGCTTTATTTAAGGTTCACTTAAGACCCCCTAAGAAAATCTGACGCGCTCGATTATTATTATTTTTTCATTTTCGACCCTTACCTACGACCACACCCACCATGCAAACGATCAGATTACGTCGACGATTAACATACATACATTATTAAAAATACGTAACACATTTATGCTATATCTGATGCACTCGAATATGTCCATGCAACAGTTTTTTTTACAAATTTTAAAATGTATAGTCCCTACCCCCACCAATGAAAAGGTATACATTATATGACATTTTTTTCTTAGTATCATCTAAGCTTTGCATCCCAATAGGTCTCTATGACGCTCGAGTAAATCCCCATTTAGCATCGTGGGCTCCCCTACTATTGGTAGATTGTATATATACCGAGCGTAGTGAGCAGCGCGGCTGCGGCGGCGGCGCGGGCGTGCGGCGCCGGGTTGGCGGCGGCGGCGGTCAGCGCGCGGGACGTGCGCCCGCCCGACAGGTGCCATTTGAACACCACCCACTGGAACATCGACTGTACGCACGCGTGGTACGTACCCCTCATTGTAAACCATTCATCATACACATCATTTATAATTGAAGACATGAAGTGGACGAAGGAAATACGATAAAGTTTGTTAATTTTGAGAAAACGAGCAACAAACTTTTGTTACTTGTACTTTTCGTACATAGCTCCTTCATCACATGCAATTTCTAAAAATAGCTTTTAAGCTCGGAGTTTTAAGGTCTAATATAGTTTATAGGCACATAACACCTTCATTCAACATAAAAACTCAAAAATCTTAAAAATGGTACTTAACCCATTCATCCACTCATGTCTTCATTTATTCGAATAATCATTAAAAAAAATCTTTATAATCAAATCCTACCGAATACGAAAATTACTAACAGAATTTTTATTTCTGGACATTTGAGTATATTCTCCTAATTGTCAGAATGACTAAGAATTATTTTAAAACGTTTTTTCTTATTTTTTTCCAGCCAGTCTGTAGAGCTTGACAAAGTAAATAGATATATGAGAGGGTCGTCATACACGTGTACAATGCACACATTACCTACCACAATTACATAAAAATATGTCAATTGACTCAGCAATTCCAAGAGTCAACAAACATATCCTTTTACTAAATTAGGCGCGTATTAAATGCAAATTAAATCTTACCAAATTGGGATCATCTTTGTCAGCGATGCTAATGGCGGTTTCCGCGAGACGCACAACGCAAGCGCCTTCGTCGTGAATCTCGAACAATTTTATAACCTATAGAAAAATCAGTTATTAAGTATGCAAGTATCAAACTCATTTGAACTCGGTGTCGCATAACTATCAGCTACCTTCATGGACTTTTTGGCGGGAACGCGAGGAGTGAACTTGTGTGATTTGTTTTTGTCTATTTAGTGTTTATTTGGGTTTAAATGTGTAATAACGGTGGTTTATTAACTGTTTAGTATGTGCGAAGGTGCACAATGTGGGAAAATGAAACAAAGCTGCTGAACATAACTTCTCGGGAACCTCCAAAAAGTTCACTGAAAAAGTCTCAGTAAATGACCACAATTTTACTGATATCACATTTCATTTCATTTCATTTCATTTCGTTTCGTTTCGTTTCGTTTCGTTTCGTTTCGTTTCGTTTCGTTTCGTTTCGTTTCGTTTCGTTTCATTTCATAATATTATTTTTCATATTAAAATAAGACTTGACCTAAAGGTCTTAGTTACCAGGACATAAAATCCCTTTAAAAAAAAGCTACCTTCATGTAGTACAGCACGAGGGCTCGGTGCTGAGTGAGGTGCGCGTCCGGCTCGGCCACGAGGTGTCGCAGGAAAGGCTCCGTGCTAACACCTTTGGCTGCCTTGCAGAACGCCGTGTACGCCGCCTCCGTGTCTTCCAGGTCTAGCAGGGCCAACCCCAATATAAACTGACCTATTTTAATATCAAACAACAAAGTTAATTTTTGCACTTCTCGGATTAATCAAGATCTGTCGGATTACTTGGAATTGAGTATTTTTAGCTTCTAAATTTAAAGCACTCCAAACTTATTTCTTTTCGATTTCGTGGTACTAATTTATCGTACAGTTATGTTCAAACGGAACAATTGTGGCTATAGGGAGGTAGATAGTAGTCATAGTCATATAACCATTATAGTTAATTTTTACTGGTACGTGGTCCGCGCGGATAGGTACCACCACCCTGCCTATTTCTGCCGTGAAGCAGTAATGCGTTTCGGTTTGAAGGGTGGGGCAGCCGTTGTAACTATACTGAGACTTTAGAACTCGTATCTCAAGGTGGGTGGCGCGTCTACGTTGTAGATGTCTATGGGCTCCAGTAACCACTTAACACCAGGTGGGCTGTGAGCTCGTCCAATCCTCTAAGCAATAAAAAAAAAAAAAAAAAAATTTATATATTGGCCATATACAACATATTGCTGCACCGATGACGCCTTATTTACTATACATAATTGTGTCTATATTGAACTTGAAACTTAGTATTGCAATCAATTCTACAGCTAATTCAAGATTATCCGATTTGGCAATTTGCCGTATCACTCCTACTAAATATGTCGAAACAGAAATGCATAATAATATGTATGCATTACTAAATAATAAAATTTTACTACATGTTAAAAGTACCGAATAAAAATCTAAATTGATTGTAAAAACAATGAGTGTTGTATACTGACGCGAGCACGCATTCCATTCACACCAGGGCTCCAGCATGTTGACGTAGGTCTGCACGAGTCGTGGCTGGTTGATTCTTGCTAACCACCAACCAAAATCGAAGCCGCCGCTAACTGCCCAACTAATTCAATTGTTAAAGAAAAGAATCTTGTGACGGTTTTAAATTAATACTATCAGATTGTCAAAATCAAGTTTTCACAGCAAATTATTATAGGTCTGACAATTGAATTAATATTACTATTACTTAGGGTTGACAGCAGTATTTTTTAGCTAATGGTAATTAGTCTTTTTTTGTATGAAGAAAGGATCTGGTGGCCGGAAAGCCTTACCAGTTTCATCAGGACAGGTGAGCTGTAAGTAGTCACCGTCCTTCATGGACCATTGATAAATAAAGTTATATCAAGGATACAGTTGGTGCGCGAGATGGTAGAGGAAGTGCGGCAGCGCGTGTTGCCAGGCGGTGTGCGTCCGTGCGGCGGCCAGGTGCGAGCGCGCCCGGGCGCCCCCCGGCCCCCGCGCGTACACCCGCACCACGCCCGCGCCGCCCGCGCCCGCACTCACCGCCGCGCCGCCTAGCGCACTCAGCTTCAACCGGAACGCTTCCGACGAATTCGAATTGCTGTTCGACAGCAAACCATATTCAAAATCCTTCATATTCATTTATGATGAATGAATAAAATCTATTGGACACACATATTCTAAAGTCAGATAAGAAACGTTCAGGGAAGATAACTACCGCAGGACAATGTTATCATTTGCATTTATTATTCAATTTAGTGTTTGCGAAATTGCATGCCTAATCGAAAAGTATTAATTTATGATGCGTGTTGAACTCTTTAGGTGTACGTTTTAACAGGTTGAAGGGGTGTAATTACGTGGCGGCATGTGGCGGCGCTCCGTGCAGCCATAGAAGCGCGCGGTAGGCCTGCCAGTGCACGGCGCAGTGTCCGGCGCCCGGCACCGCGCCCGCCCCGCGACACACGCCCAGCGCCGCCAGCGCGCCTCGCACCACGCGACATCTGACAACACAAACAAAATCCATATGTCGGGTACTAGTTCGGAAACTGAAGTTTTATTACGTACTGTTATATGACAAGTCCTGCGGTGCCATAGCAACTGTACTAAATTTAAATTTAATTAAATGAATGATTTACGAACGCATAGAGAAATAAAATTTAAACGACCATTATTTTTTTAAATCTATGAATAATTTGTATATTTTACACTTACTTACCCTTTCCTTTTTATATATTACATATTTTTTTAATTTCCAAAATTCAATTTCAATTACTTCGGTTGTGTGCTGTTTGCCTAGAATAACAGCAACACTCATCTCCTCCCTTGTGTGTCATAAAAATAAACTAAGGGAACCACCAGAGAATGACTACCAGCCTACTACGAATGCCAACCGGTTCTAAGTACGCACTTTTATTATAATTGTATTTTATTAAAATGTATTGGGCACTTTACTAAGAGTCGACATAATAAGCCATAGACCTAAGTTGTAGTTTTATTTGTTCTACTTACCGACCGACATGCAATTTGGAGTAAAACCTCATTCAGAATCGGCAAATTAGTAAAGAAATTAGTGAAAGAATTTTAGGGTGTGAAAATAACAGAAGTTATTACTACTGTGAAGCAATAAAAGGGTCATGGGGAAATAGTAAACAGTTTTATATCTAAAGACAGATTACTATCATTTTATATCAAGCTATACATTTAATTTTATTTTTCATGTATTAATTAATAATAATCAACTGATCTAGACTCGAGATCTTGGCTCCGGCATTACTTTTTTTTTAGCGGATTACCTCATTTCAGCCATTTGCCTAATGGCCTCGGTGACCACGGCCACTCCGAGATCGCTGGCAAATAAACTTTCATATTCACCGTCTTCATCATCTTCACCTGTAATTTATTACATTTACAATTAATTCACGATTTATTCTTTATCATAAGTCTTATAGTTATAAGTAAATACTCACTTCTAGACATTTCGATGTCTGGAACATCCAATCTGAGGGCATCGTTCAGTTCCAGTACGGCACTTTGGAGATCTCTGATCGGCTCCAAAATTGCACTAAGTTCATTGATTTGCTGGGGTGTTAAGATCTAGAAGTCAAGTTTTGACCATGCTTTTTATCATTGCATTTGTCTTTATTACGTCCGAAAAATAATAAATCTATGAGACTTTCTACTCGTAAATGCTAATTGGAAAAGATATTTTAATTAAGACCAAAAAAAAGAAATATTTGCCAATTTTTTTTCTATTGCTTAGTTCAAGCGTTATAGTCTACAATACAATTCTTAGTACGGTGGATTCCTTAAGGAATATTAATTGGAATATTTCGAATAGAGAGGGCACAGTCAGGTGAGATGGTAACAAGAGAGAGTACGTACAGGCGGCGAGTGCAGCAGATGCAGCAGTCTAGGAAGCAGGCGGTGTTGCGGCGCGGCGGCTGCGAACAGTTGTCGCTCGAGCTGGTGCGCGCGGCTCGGCGAGGCGGCCCGCTCCCAGCACGCGCCCGCCGCCACCACGCGCCGCGCCGCCGCCGACAGCGCGCCCAGCCACACGCCTGCCACCGCAACCGTCACACCACTACAGAATTGCTACCCTTCTACCCTTGCACGGCATGGTCTCCCGCGTTTTTTTTATTGCTTAGATGTGTGGACGAGCTCACAGCCCACCTGATGTTAAGTGGTTACTGGAGCCCATAGACATCTACAACGTAAATGCGCCACACACCTTGAGATATAGTTCTAAGGTCTCAGTATAGTCACAACGGCTGCCCCACCCTTCAAACCGAAACGCATTACGGCTTCACGGCAGAAATAGGCGGGGCGGTGGTACCTACCCGTGCGGACTCACAAGAGGTCCTACCACCAGTAATTACGCAAATTATAATTTTGCGGGTTTCATTTTTATTACACGATGTTATTCCTTCACCGTGGAAGTCAATCGTGAACATCTGTCATCATGCTTTGCTGTCTCTTAGTTGGGTATCAGAGACGCTTCATATTCGCTAGTGTAACATAATATTTTGAGTTCCTCCAATTAAATCGACACACATCGTAACCACTTAATAACTTTACGCCAGGTCAACCGTGAGCCCGTTGCGTAAACCCACCCATTATTAACTCATCATTACTAAAAATATCTATTTTTATAATCAAATGAAAACAGTTGTCAGTGACAAGTTTTTAAATTATTGTGCATACCAGTTCCAGATTCCAGTGTATCTTCAGGTGACAACATCATACGTTCTAGCGGTTCGAGTTCACAGACTAGAGACACCCCCGCGCGGCGCACAACTGCACACCACCCCCCGCTCTCTATGTCCGTCCCCTGAACGAAATCAATTCTATATTTCATATTTCAGAGATTCTTAACCCCTTGTTTGTCGTGGCACAACTTTAACGATTGGAAAAGACAGAGGTGAAAGAAAAACTTATATGAAAAATGAGTATTAAATGCCTATTTCTGTTAAAAATATTTTATACATGTTAATTTTAAATAATAATACATCATTTAATAGTTTAACATATTCAAATCTTTACGGTTCACTCGTAATTAAAAAAAGTAATATCATTTACATTTACATTTAAAAAATTTGGCATTCCGCATTAGGCATCATGCTGCGCATAAAAGCGTCAATACACACAGTGACTAACTGCCTTTATACAAAAACTGTAAAAAATGAATAATACCGAAATTGGTTCAGATTAATTACATAAAACAAGAACGCGAGAAAAGCGACCTACTTCATTAAAATTTATTCCAAACAAGCATTACAAGAAAGAATGCAAGCTTGCACTTACATTTTCTGACACCATCAATCCAAGAGGTTTCTGTAACCCTTCCATATACTGCATGCACCAGCTGTACAAATCTGACCAGCATCTAAATTATAGAATTAGACTGTGAATAATGGGAAATGCTAACACAAAATACGCTTAATGGTTTAAGTGTTGGGAGGTCGTCCACCCACTCAGTGAAGTCAAGGAAGTCTCTACTATCTCTATAATATGGCTGTAATACGTTCCAGATCGTAACAAACAAATTTTTAGCGTAAGAAATAGTGAGGATCTGGGTACCCATTCATGCGGGCTAGTATGGCGCCCTCACCAATAAAAAGACCTACAGAATGAATTCCGATTCTTTGTGTTAGAATTATGTATTACTATCTGTTTTAAACAAATTGATGCTCAGACTGTTAGGCAACCGCTTGACGGCGACCTCGGTGTTGCCTTGCGACTAACACATTCCGTACACAATAAAGGTATGTGTTTAACGCTTTTACTTTTTGCCTTGGCTGTAGTTGGATTAGGATTTTACAGGCCTTATCCATACATTTACTACAGAGAATGCTAAGGTTTGGATTGGTAAATCAAAACAAGAATTAATGGGAAGACTGATTTAGAAAGTCAGACTGTTGGGTGTGATTTTTTTATTATTATTAGTATGGTGGACGAGCTCACAGCCCACCTGGTGTTAAGTGATTACTGGAGCCCATAGACATCTACGATGTAAATGCGCCACCCGCCTTGAGATATAAGTTCTAAGGTCTCAAGTATAGTTACAACGGCTGCCCCACCCTTCAAGCCGAAACGCATTACTGCTTCACGGCAGAAATAGGCAGGGCGGTGGTACCTACCCGCGCGGACTCATAAGAGGTCCTACCAACGTCCATAATAATAATTGAATTGAATTGATCCACCATGAAAATAATAATTTTGCACGTACTTGTGCATAAGATGTGTTTGATCGGTGGAGGCGGTGCGCGCCGCGTGCAGGCGGAGGCGGGCCAGCACGGCGGACACCGCCGCCTCGCCCAGCTCCTCCTCCGCCGCGCCCCCCGCGCCCCCGCCGCACCACGTGCGCGTGTAGATCTGTCGTGCATTACATGTTATAACTTATACTGGGTGTTAGGAGACCGCTTCCGAAACAGAAGACAGACGATAGTACTAATGACCACACCTTTGACGATGGAGTTATTTAGTGAAATGTTGTGTAAATAAGTATTTGTGAGATCGCGCGAGTCTGCGCCGCGCCCGTGCGTTCGTTGATCCGAGCATCAGCTGTTTTTGATTGTGTGTTTCATTGCTGGTTTTTTTTTTTAGTGAAGTAATGTATTTTTTATGAAACTATCGTTTCATTTATCTGTACTAATATGATAGAGCGTAAATAATGCTAATAAAACGTTTTAAAAATTTTTTTTTTTTTTTTAATCAGGATCTATTTTTTTTTCCGTCCCATCATCAAAGGTATCATTAGTACTATTGTCTTCGTTTTCGGAAGCGGTCTCCTAACACCCAATACAATATTGTCGACATCAACGACATTTTTTTTTAAATGTTATCTGTTTCAATGCTAGATCTACCTATACAATGATTTTTAGTTTAATATTACTGTTATGTACGCGTGCAATTACCACCAGAGCTTTTCTGATGACCGAATGTGGAAATAGGCCCGGCGCAAGGAGTCTATCGCGGTACTGGTTGTGATTTGATAGTTGCGGCAAGGGCGGGGGAGGCTCGCGGCCCGCTACTGCCTGCCAGGACACTTCGGCGCCCAGGGAACTACCTGGAACACATTATGAATATCAGGACCAGGGCAATAACGTTGGATTTCCTTTGCTCTTTAGAAATCGCTGTTATACAAAGTCCTGCGGTTTTTTCTGGTGGTTTCAGAGCCCACAATGTGAATGCCGCCACACACCTTGAGGCTGAAGTCTCAATACTAAAGTAGTATAATGGTTATCCCACCCTTCAAATCCGAACGCATTACTGGTTCAGTGCTGAATAAGACAAGGTGGTGGTACTTGCTAGTGTGGGCTCAAAAGGTTTGCTTCTTATTACACGATGTTATTCCTTCATCTTTTAAGTCATGCATGAAGGTTATAAGTACGTATTTCAATACAAAAATTGGGATCTGCCTGCGAGATTTGAACACTGGCATAATCGCACCGCTTGATATGAGAATACCTGGCATTTTACTCTTTAAGCCCCAAGAATTTCAAATTAAATTTTAATTTAAAACCCCATGAAATCAGTGTTTTTGTGAGATATTAATGAGCAATACTTTACTCATACAAAATCTCATTTTTTCACATCAAGCTAGCAAGCGTAGTGGAGTTCAAGAAAAGGTTCGTGGCAGGAGCGACATTTTTCTAAAATAAGAGCTGTCTTAATAATGTTATGTTTCCTAACTTTTATTGCTTAGAAAAGTCAAACATTTTAATATCAACATACATGTCATCATGGTATCGCCATCGGGTTGACTCCACAGTGCCCAAATGACATGATTGCTGTCTCCATAACCAATTTTATAATCTAAAAGATCCAACTGCAACAAGTACATATTTAAACAATACAGCAAAATAGTGAAAGTGATGTAACAATTTTTATGTCATGAGTAAATATTACCTGAGGACCAAATATTCGACAGATATGTGAAAACTTTATAAATCCCCCTACGGGATCATGCATTTTCATCACAACAAATTCACATTCATTTGGAAAAGATAAATATGCAACTAAAATGACACTGCCATCCAATCCAATTGTTTTCTGTAGCATGTGACCGTGTGCTGTCAAGGAATAGGAAAATTTGTTACTTAGCATTTTGCAAATTCATAGTACAAACATATATAAATTAAGTAATATCAAACAAACTTACGTGGTGGCTTCGGTCTCACGTTTGTTTGTGAAAGTGGGGCAGACACAGAAATTGGTGCACCTCCATCATCAATGGGCCATGCTCTAAGACACGCATCGCCACACACGGCCACAATTACATTTTTTGTAATTACCACACCATAAGTTTCAACTCCATCAGTAGTCTTGCCTCTGTATTAAATTTTAGCCTTATCAGTAACAAATGTAACAATGACCTATAAGCCTATACAAGGAGCTACTACCACCCTACTCAATTCTGCCATGAAGCAGTAATCTGAACACATGATCAAAGCTGATATAATAATTTCACTTTGAAGGGAGACAAGACAAAATACTACATAATTGAAATATACACCTTATGCCTAGAGGTGGGTGGCAGCATACACATTGTAACATCTATAGGCTCTGATAACCACTTAAAACTGAATCCATCACCCATCTATAAAAAAAGGAATATTCCAACTTTATATAACATATTGCGGTTACAATGTAATATAGAAATTTAAAAAACGAAATACACAATTAACTACCCATGCAAAGAAAAAGGTTAATATAATCAACTATGTAATGCATAATACCTGAGAGCTCCTGTAATTCCTGATAAGAAACTGGGTACAGTTGATTCTCTCTTTAATACAGTAGTGACTGCTGCTCCAGTTACTGGCAGTTTTATAAGTAACAAGCTGCCCTCACCTTCATGTCCAAATGCAAGTGCAAATATAGCTTCACCATTTTCACGAAGCAGTGAAGAACATGTATGGGCTACTCCAGTAGCTAAAATTATATTTTAACTCATAATTAAAATAATTTAATACTCTGCATGGAACAAGCTGTTTGCAAGTTCATAGCAAAATCACACAAATTGTGTAAAGTGATGGCAAATACCATTTGTGACCAATTGTCACATTTTTTAGTCACGGTTTATGTTAATAGCATGCCACAGTAGTGTAAACTACTAAAATAAACTGTGGAGATTAAAGTAAACTTTAAAATATGTGTACAAGTGCCTTATGTTTAATCATTTTAAATAATATTGTTGTCTACTTACTGGCATTAGAATACTGATTTAAAATAAAATAATTATTAGGGTTGTTTATAGAAGATGTATCATGACATATAGAAGGCGATGTACTGCTCATTGATCCGTATGTACACTGAAATATCAAAAAACATTTAAACAACCAATATTTTTTCTACATAATAATTTGAATAATGAAATGATTAAAAAAATGTGTTTCACGTAGAGTAATAATAATTTAAATAATATGGTCTCATTGGTCTAAAATTTATCTTTATATGATGCTTTAAATTCTCTCACCTTTTTATCTAATATTGAAGGATGTGGAAAAACTAGTCTATGTACTGACGAAACAGTAGCAGCTAATATAACAACATTGTTTGTACTACTGCGTTCATAAACAGTAATATTACTCAGTGGAGGAGTTCCTGGAGCTACTTTACATCTCAAGTTTGCAGAAGAGAGATTTAAATCTAGTGAAGCTTCCGATATCTCAATTGCATCTGATGTAGTTTGCCTGAAAAAGCCATTAATAATACCTGCACATACATTGTATACCTTGTCGGATCAAATTCTGTGACATGAGAATTTTTATTTAATATGTTCTCTACAATCGACTTTTCAACAAAATTTATCTATTTTATTACTATTATTAGTATTTTAATTTTCGTTGCAAAGTGGATTGTAGCTCAACAGGATACTGTAATTTGTCAAATAAAATCTAATATTTTAAATAATTATTACATTATATTAAATATAAAATGACAGTTATTGATTATTTAAATCAGCACTAGGGTCTGCTAACTTTTCTAAGCATAATGTGAGGTATGGATAAAAATGGGCTCTGGTGCAGCACAATGTGCACACATAACTGACCAATTCCTGGATTTATGCAGGACTTAATTAAAAATTATGAGCCAGTGCATGTGTATGGTACTCTACAGAATTCCAAAGAATTTTGTGTAACTTGTTTAAAACAATTACCAGTAAATAAAGCGATTCCTGGTGTAGAACTTCGTTGAATCCTTATACCAGTAACCGCCGGCTTTTTGCGGTAATTTGATGTCTTGTAAAGTACTGTGAGTACCACCTAGAAAAGTAAATAAAGACAAACAAATTTATTACTAAGCTATTGTAAGTGTAGAATATTTTATAAGTTGGACATATTAGTACCTGTGTTAAGTACAATTTCTTTCCATTTTTCTGGAATATTATGATTTGGAGCAATCTCCTTGAACGTGACCGGCATAGCTTCAAGAAATTCCATGGTGAACTTTGTAATACAAAAGCCCCCAAGTCAGATATTTTAGTGAATCAACTTAAATATAACTGAAAACAAATATTTTTAGTTGAGAGTTAACCCTCGAATATATTAAGTGTATAATCTATGAGTTAACCTCACAGACCATAGATAATACACTTCTTTGAAGGGATTTTATGATCTGGTAGAAGTGGTAAATAAGACCTTTAGGTAAAAGATAGTAGGTACACATTTTTTTTAAGTAGTTTCATGACCTGGTAACTAAGACCTTTAGGTCAAGTCTTATTTAAATTTTAATGATACGTAACTTTTTTAAATGATAATGATATTATGAAATGAAATGAAGTTGATTATTATGAAACATGGCATGAAGTGAAATGAAAACGAAATGAAATGACATGAAATGAGATGTTATGGGATAAAATATAATCTCAGTAAAATGGTGGTCATTTACTAAGATTTTTTCAGTGGACTTTTTGAAGGATCCCGAGAAGCTACGTCCAGTGGCTTTGTTTCATTTTCCCACATTTGTGCACTTTCACAGATATTAAACAGTTAATAAACCACCATTATTACACATTTAAACCCGAAGAAACACTAAATAGACAAAATAAAACAAATCACACAACTTCACTCCTCGCGTTCCCGCCAAAAAGTCTATTACAGATTACCTTTCATCTACCCATAGATAGTACACTAATTTATTTTGCTTGTTCATTTGACAAAATAAACTCAACAATATCTAAAGTGCCTTATTCACGATCCATCTTGCTGTACTTCCCGCCAAGGCCATGCACGATGCACGATGCAAAAGGATCATGAATAGGCTTGACGTACGTCGATAATTATTATTAATTGCGGGCTTGAGCTGACGTACAGCCGTGATGGATCGTGAATAAAGCGCTAAATGCATCGTGCATCGTGCATGGCCTTGGCGGGGCGTACAGCAAGATGGATCGTGAATAAGGCACTTAAGGTTACCACGGTACGAACACACTGAATAAGAAACCTACTATGAACGAACATAACATTGTCTATGGGTAGGACCCACGATTTCGTATCTTCTTATAAAAGGTTTTTACGTTTTTGATTCTTATACGAATAGGTATTTTTAATTTTGTTGTGATGTGTACTGTGCTGTGGAGTTAAATGACAAACAAAATAGCAATGAATTTGTAAAATTTCGAAACAACATGTTGACTTATCGTAAAAAGAAATAATTAAAGGTAAGAATGAATTACCAATCGATTTTTGTTTGTTTTTGCAAAAAATTCGAAACATTGTAAAGCAAACAAAAGTTATATTTTACCTTGAGAATTTAATTTAAAGCTAAAAACTAAATAATACACAAATTCTTTAATATGTTTAGCAAAAGAAAAAAGAATAGTGTTTCGTAACGCTCAATCACCTCAAAAATTTAACGCTCTAACTTTTCTTCTGTCTGTAATTGAACTCTCGTATAGTATTTAGTCACAAAGTTTATTATTATTCAACCGTACCATGAACACAAACCACAGAAAATAAATTTAAATACATCGAACAATCACAATTCTTACATAAGTAACTTTGTCAAGTTTTATGCCAGAATTGTCACTATCGAATTTATATATTTTTTATGATTTTATGACTAATAGTTACTAATATAAATTAACCATACCTTGCTCTGACCATGTGAATGAAAGAGATCATGATACTAAAAGTGCTATTAATCTGGCACAGACGGAATTGTTCTCTATTCAAAACATACTTTGGTTGATAAGCAGTTACTCTCATCGTTCATGGCCCAGTAGTCTTGTTTGTTAGAGACCACATTATAACAAATATTTAATTTCATTGCTTGTTAGGCTTCATATGGGGATTGCTTGAATGCAGTAAATTGATAACGATAACTATACAGAAAAGAAACGGCTCAAGAGTAATGCAAAAAATGATACTTTAATCTAATCCAGAGAAATCTCCATTCATCTGATCAAATGACTGCTTATAAATCACCACTATATAATATTATAAAATTATATACAGGAACTGGGAATACAATTTTTAGTAAATACTTGTATTGTAAAATAGATTTGATATTCAAACAAGTAACCTAGAAAATATTACATTATCTTTATCTATTATCTAATAAAATTCTCAGATAATTAAATATTTCTCCAATAAAATGCACACAGGGCAGACGTAGTCAATTATACAAAAAAAAACCCAGAAAATGCACTAAATTTAAAAATTTAATTTCTTAAGACTACAAAATGCTTCATTCATGCATAGCTAATGCTACCTAAAAAAAAACGGAAATGAGCTAGAAGTCCCATTCAGTAATGAATGATTTCTCAGATTAACTGTTGTGTTAGTTGTTTGATACAAGTCATTTTACTATCATGATTTCTTAGGTTTACCTTAGGGGCCGGTGTTAGCTGTTAATCAGAACACAGGATGCTGAAGTATTTGCCGATAGTTGGGGAATACTTTTATCCAAAATAATGTTATTTTTAGCATAATATTAGTACTTAAGAATGTTAATAATGTTTTTTGTGTTAACGAGTCAGGTGTTTTGGTGCAAACTGTAAGCCTGACTTTGTATTCAATGGAATAAATAAATGAAAACATGCTCTGCCATGTCTATTGGCTACCCCATTAAAACATCTATCTCAATTTGTGTTTTTCTAGTAGAAATTTAATACTACAAAATTTTATTATAAAGATTATAGAATTCATTCATTAGACATAGCACAACTGAGTGTCACCATATAACTATGTCATTATAAAACTATTATTATCATAACAAATTAAACAAAAAAAGTTTTTTTTTTATTATTGCTCAGATGGCTGGACGAGCTCACAGCCCACCTGGTGTTAAGTGGTTCCTGGAGCCCATAGACATCTACAACGTAAATGCGCCACCTACCTTGAGATATAAGCTCCAAGGAAATATAATATAGGATATAGGCAAGGCGGTGGTACCTACCCGTGCAGACTCACAAGAGGTCCTATCACCAGTAATTACGCAAATTATAATTTTGCGGGTTTGATTTTTATTACACGATGTTATTCTTTCACCGTGGAAGTCAATCGTGAACATTTGTTAAGTACGTATTTCATTAGAAAAATTGGTACCGCCTGCGGGAGTCGAACACTGTTGCATCGCAAGATACGAATGCATCAGACGTCTTATCCTTTAGGCCACGATGACTTAAGTAGTACTTAGTAATATAGTAATACTAGTAATACTTTTAACAGCGGAGTGTGTGTTTTTATACAGTAGCGCAGTGGCGGGTTGCGAGCAGGGCGCGTCGGGTGGCGGCCGACCCGCAGATACTATCCGACGCGTTAAAGTCAAAATGTCGTCAGTGTCAGCACAAGGAGTAGTAGAACGCGCCTCGGCAGAGCTCTCTCGACGGATCACTGGACTGGGGTTGCGCGGCCGTAAGCGTTCCCCCAGTGTTGTGGAGCGTATGGCCAATGCACTCTGTGGACCTGCTGCGCCCGCACCCCCTCGCGTTCCGCGCCGCCGGCGACCCTCACCGCGACCTCTTCTTTGGAATCAATTTATTTTGGATGACAGATTTTTAGAAAAGTTTTTTTTGTTTTTCAATTCTGTTGACAGGAGAACCCTTGCACAGGTACTGATTACTTTTTGGTTTGCTTATTGGTAGTATTTACTGATCAAACATCTGTGTTTACATTTCATATTTACGACTCCTACAATTGTATTGATGTTAAAAATCAACTACACAGGTATGCACTCGATGGCGCGATATATTGTACTCATCACCACGATGGTGGACGGGCTTGATAGCGGTGTTAGATTGTCGGGAACTACGTATATCTACCGGGTGTTGCATGCAGCGTTTCTACAATTCGCTGATGAGAAGAGGTATTCGTGGTGTCGTTTTAATATCTGCTTCGGATGATGATATTAACGAATTCATTAGACAGTTCCCCTTGTCGGCTCATCATGTCCATGCTATTGGCTTAAAAGGGTGTACTATAACAGATAGGGGGCTCGAAGCTATTTTGGATCACTTACAAGTGAGTCAACCTTAGCATTTTTTTGTGAAGCATCAATCATTACAGAAGACTTACTTTACTGTCCATTTTAGGTACTGTTTGAGTTAGAACTAACAGGATGTAATGAAATAACAGAAGCCGGATTATGGGCATGTCTAACACCTCGAATTGTATCACTCACGCTTACTGACTGCATTAACATAGCTGATGAGGCTGTAAGTATTTAACTTCAATTCATAGATAACTACAGTACAATGTTTTTACTTTCGAGTCTATTCACCATGATGTATAAATTTTTGTGAAATTAAAAAAAAGGCTTATTTCCCACGATTTTTTGTTTTTGATAATTATGGAATCGATTGCCGTCCAGAACTAAATAACAAATACTTTCAAATGTTATACAAAGATGAATTATTTCTTAGACTGCTTATTAACGCCTTCGCTATGTCATCATTCAATTGACTTTTAAAACTTGACACGATTGAAAAACTTGTAATAAAAGTAATAATATGTCAATGTAAATATGTACACTATAAAATGTCGTTTCATCAACACTGTTTTGAGTAAGTTTAGTGATAAGAAAGTTGCATTCAATTTTATTTAAAACAAGCGGCCCGCTTCGGTTCCGCTCGGGTCTTTAACAAAAATTTCAACGATATTTGACGTTTTATTTTTTTAAATAAAATAACACTTATTGAGACATAACTATAATAGTTAGAAATACGCGACACTTTTTGTTAATAATAATGTGTTCTACAAAGTCATAGTACATTATTTTATTCTATCACCAATAGTTTTCGCAGGGCACGCGATGTAAAGAATATTTTAAGTAATTTTTTTACACTTTGGGTTACATTATTGGAGTGTTAGTAAGGATCCCTAACCTTTTTAAAAAAAAATATAGTCTTATGTCATTCGGGAATAGTGTAGCTTCCAAACATTGAAAAAAATTTTCAAATAGGTTCAGTAGTTTCGGAGCCTATTCAAGACAAACAAACAAACAAATCTTTCCTCTTTATAATATTACTAGTATTAGTATAGATTATTATAGATAAATACTACTACATACTAATAACTCGTATTTCAT